GCTCCTCGCCCTCCGCGCCCCCAGGGGCCGCCCCTCCGGCCGCCGCCGCTGCCTCTCCACCAGCCTCCCCGACTCCCTCCTCCACTGGCTTCTACCGGGGCGCATACCCGGCCCCCTCGGACTTCGGCGTGCACTGCAGCAGCCAGACCACCGTGCTGGACCTGGACACTCACGTGGTGACCACGGTGGAGAACGGCTACTTGCACCAAGACTGCTGCGCCTCCGCCCACTGCCCCTGCTGTGGCCAGGGCGCCCCGGGACCGGGCCTGCCGCCCGCCCCCGGCTGCAAGCGCAAGTATTATCCTGGCCAGGAGGAGGACGACGAGGAGGAGGAGGAGGTGGGCGAGTTGGGGGCCGAGCCACCCGGGGTCGCCCCTTTCGCCTCCTGCAAGCGCGCCCGCTTCGAGGACTTCTGCCCGGACGCGTCCCCGGACGCGTCTAACATCTCAAACTTGATCTCCATCTTTGGCTCGGGCTTCTCGGGGTTGGTGAGCCGACAACCGGACTCCTCGGAGCAGCCGCCGCCGCTCAACGGGCAGCTGTGCGCCAAGCAGGCGCTCGCCAGCCTCGGCGCCTGGACTCGAGCCATTGTCGCCTTCTAGGGACCCCCGAAGGCGCGGGGACCCAGGGCCCCGCGGGGCTGGGGCCAAACAAAGACTCGGGCAAGGGGCGAGAGAAGGGAATGAGCGGACGCCTGGCCACTCGGGGCTGGCCTGGGGGCGAGCAGTGGGAGGCGGCCGATGTTTTATAAATTGTAAAATAAAAAAAGAAATCTAAGATCTTGGACTTTATTTTTGCAGAGAGAAAAAAAACGCCTATTTAAGTATGCTTTGTGTCTCTCCTCTTTTTTTTTCCTTTTTATTGTAGTGATTGCAGTGGTGTTCAGCGAGGAGCCAGCCACGTGAGGCAGGGCTGCTGCCCGGAGGAGGTGCCGGGCAGCCGGGGGCAAGGCAGGACGCCCAGGCCACTGGGCGCGCCGGGGCGCGGGGCCGGGAACGCCAATCCTAATCAGTTGTCAGAAGCCCGGCGCTCGGTTCTGAGTCCCTCGGTGGAGTAGAGGATGGGTCTTGTTAAATACTCAGTAAAAACAAAGGCAAACTCTATCTCCGAAAGGGACGTTTGGGTCACATTTCCTCTCTGGGGGCGGCCTCCAAAGTTCTCAAAATGAGAAGGCAGAAATGAAAACACTTCAACTTTTTTTCTTTTCTTCCCGGGGCGGGTGTCTTGAATCCCCCCTCTCCCTGCCCCTCTGGCTCCGCTCTCTTCCTTTCCCCTACCTGTCTCCCAGAGTCGGGGTGGCAACCGACACCCCGACACTCACGGACACTGTTTGGGTACGGGGTGGGGGGCGGGCACCGCGGACTACATTTCCCATCATGCCCAGCACTGCGGTCCTCTCTAAACAAAAAAGGAAGTCGATTCCTTCACCTGGATCCTGGCGGCCCCGGGGGAGGGAGGGGCCGGGACCGCCGACTGCGTTGGAGACTTTGCACTAAGTTCCTGATCAGATGTGGTGTTTGTGTGTGTGCTTCTAAGTTGCGCTGTCCTGATTCAGCCTTCATGGTTGCGTTTCATGAAACCAGCATTGTTCGAGCCTGTGAAAAATCTGTCCTGTGTCTGCAGCTCGATTTTGTTTAATTTCAAAGTCTTTTGTTGTAAAAAGGTTTACAGTCCCTCTAGCCTTCGGTCATCAGCACCATGTACAACCCCCAAACAATTTTACCAACCCATCATTTCTCGGCCCTTCCCCTCTCTTCCCTTGTATTTCTGTGCATAATGAATTGTATATCACCGGATGAAACTGTTCAGATTATTTGTTTAAGTTTATAATCTTAATAAAAAGTCAGTTATAAAGGATGGTGGTGCCCTGTTTTCAGAGTGGCCTGGGGGCGTGGGGAAGATAGATGAGGGATGAAGACAACAAATACATACACACACTGGCGCGCAAAGCAAACCCCAGCTTTCCAGGGTCTGGATGGGTGGGATCTGCCCACTTCGGCAGGGTTCAGGAGGAGGGCCCAGGTGGGAAAATTCTGGGGATGAAGCCTGTGCAGCTTGTTTCCCACCTCCCGAGACCCCTCTTCTCAGCGGACTAGTTTGCCACGGGAGTGAGCCCCAGGGTCTGCAGGAGAAAACCATTCTAATCAGGGGTGCAAGGCTTGGTCGGCCTTGGATCTAGCTCTTTGCTGCTGGATACCGAAGGACTGCAAGGCCCCACACACAATCTACTCTGAGCCTCCACCCGCACGTCCACACGTCTCGAGCCGCAACTTAGGGAAGTTTTTCCTTTTCTTTTTTAAGTTGAGTTTGTTATCACTGCTCGGTGCCACTTGGTGGTGTGCTGGCGGCGTCTCCCTCCCTCCTCGCGCTCCTCCCCTCTCCCTCTTCTTCCCTCCCTCCCGCCTCTCCTCCTTCCCCAGTGGATGGAAGCAGGAAGGCTTCAGGCTCACTCTCCGCTCTGACCACCTACGGAATGACCTCAGAGTGGGAGAATGTGCCAAGGCCCCGAGAAAGCTCGCGCTCGGCCCACTGCAACCAAATTCACATCTGGAGCCGCGGCTCGAGCCCAGGGGCGCGCTGGGTGGTTCCAGCTTTGCGAAAAAGGGATAGAAAAGGACGGACACACACACACACACACACACACACACACACACACACTCTCTCTCTCTCTCTCTCTCTCTCTCTCTCTCTCTCTCTCTCTCTCTATCTCTCTCGCAAAAAAGGGGGGAAAGTGAAAGAAAAGAATCTTGTTCTGTCTCTTTGGTAGTGTCTATCTCCGGCTGTCTTCCCGAGGCTCGTGCTCTCGCACCTCGCCGCACCCCCTTTTTTGCGTGAGACAGGGGTCCACCCCGCAAGGCCGCTCACGGCCCCCTCCCCAGTTTTCTTCCCGCAGCGAGAGGAGGGGCTGCGGACGAGAAACCCTCACCCTAGACTCCGAAAGGCGGATGCAAACCAGTTGCAGGAGCCCGTGCAGCTCTGGGACCTAGGGCAGCACGAGGCAAAGTTCTAGGGGACACTCCAGAGCGCGGGGGGCTGCGAAGGTCCGCGGGAAGGAGGTGGGGAAAGAGGGAAGTCCTGGAGGCGTGTGTTACGGAGAAGAAAGGCACCTTCAGCCCCCAGGACTGTGTTTTCGGCCTCCTCCCACGGGAGCTGTCCGAAGCTGTTGGGGAGGGATAGCAGGGTGTCGCCCCCCTCCTCATTTATTTCCCTGCGAGTCCAAGGAAATAGGCGTCTGTCTGATGCACGCTTTAGAGCCAATCCACCAAGCCAGTTGCCAGAGCTCCCCCTAGCGCCGCTCCGATGGCGCTGCAGCGGCCGCAACTGGGAGTGGGCGAGGCACAGCCCCCGGTGGGTGGCGGGGCTGCAGGGGGGCTGCTCCACTCCCACCTGGGGTGCAGAGCTGCGTGTGGACCCAGCCCTGGTGGAGGCAGTGCCCCCTGACAGAATGTGTCCCCACTCCTGGCCCGCGTCGAGGAGGGAACACGTGATCGGCCGCCTTTGTTGGCATTTTGGAGCTAGACGCTGGAAGGGACCTACCAGAGGGGCTTGACCAGCTCCTACACACGCCCCGGGATTCTCACAGCAAAGGGATGAAGGTCGTGGGCTGCGAAATAGCAGACCTGGATTCCGCTGTGCCTGTAACCAGGGTCTTCCCCCTTTCTTCCAGATTTCCCTAGCTTAAACTGCACCCAGGGACTTAAGCACAGCAGGGCAGGGCAAACCCCAAGAGATGGGGATGGAGGACCCCGGGAGTAAGGAGTAAGCGAGAGGAAAGTGATTCTTCCCGCCCCCTCTAACCCCACCATATCTTTTCAGAGCCAGGGGTCTTAGAATGGCACACAACAGGTTAATGCAGTAACCATAATCCTCCGTGAGCCAACAAAACAACCTAGAGGCAATGCGCATCCCTCACTGAAATACCCTACACAGAGCAGTAACATTCCCCATGCCTTCATACTGTCCCGCACACCACCACAGTGCGCCCACACTGGCCCCAAAACGAGACCCTCCAAACAGTACCCTCCACTCACAACACCTCCCTCCGGCACTGACACAGCATACAACACGCAGGGTCGGAACCGAGAAACGCTAATACTCCATGCAAAACACAACAGAAAGAAAGATTGAGTCCCCAGGGGCTGGGGAAGCCTGACTTCGGTGGTCCCAGGAAAGCAAAAAAGACTGACTCAGATCCCACAAGAAGCTCCAGGCAGGATTAGGTTTGCTGCCTGGGGAGGTGAGGAGATTGAAAGAGACTGGGGACCCCAAAGGACAGGAGCTCTGTAGCTCCTCCACCACACATTCAGGTTAGCCAGCATTCCCACTCTTCCCCCTTGCTACACACACACACACACAGACACACACACAGCTTCTAGGACGGTGCAAGTCCTGCTGCCCTTGATACGTGGTGTAGGGCTAAGCCAGCCTCCAAGCTCTGCTCCCAGCAACGTAGAACTGCTGGGATGCTAGCCCAGACTGCTGAGAGCTGCAGGCTGCCCTCCAGAGAAGCCAGGGGCTTGGGAGCCTGGGGGCCCCCAAGAGGGTTGTTGGGAGTGTTGGACAGAGCTCTAAGATTCTGAGATTTGTGTGTTTCTATGCATGTGTTCATGTTTGTGTGTGTCAGAGAGAGAAAATGTGTGCCCACATGTGTCCCTCTGGTGCAGGGAGTGCACACCGGAGGCTGGGTCTTTTCTGTGTCACTGCTCACCCAATGCAAATTTAAAGAGAGCTTGGTGCCAACCGTTGCAGAGCCCTGAGCTCACTGACACAAACACTAACAGCAAATCTTGTTGTATGGATTAGCTCATTTAATTTTTCCCAGCCGCCCTCTGAGGTAGACCCTGCAAGCATCCTTCTTTTAGAAATGAGAAAACTTGCCCAAAGTCACATAACTAAGAAGCAGCCGGGCTTTGGGGCCAGTCTCTTAGACCAGAGCTTGCAGTCCAGTGGAGAATAATTTTAACATATTTCAGTACAAGCTCAATTTAGAGCCCAATGTTAGATCCCAATGTTATTTAAATAATATGAATTTATTCCAGCTGAGCCTTAAATGGGTCTGGGATCTGGTCAGGCAGAACTAGTGGGTTGGGATTGCCCTCCTCACTCCATGCTCCTGGTCTCAGGGATGAGGAAACGCAAAGGACACTGATATCTGTGTTGCCACAACCCGGGCAATAGTGACCTATTCCTTGTATTCTCCAGGATATGTCAGTGGTGACAAGAGACAGCAACTCAATAGGGATCAGCCTGGCCAAAAGTGGGATTCATTGACTCATGGCACTAAACTTTATAGTGGGCAGAGGGACATGTGTGACCTCTGATACAACTGACTCTCCAGGGCCAAATTTTGTTCAGGATGTGCTCTGTAACTCATTCTACACTTAACCTCCTGAAGCCCCACCTTCCACTACAGCTGCAGAAGGCAACTCCTGGATCCAGTGTCACCGCCTCACGACTTTCTTCTTCCCTTATTTTCAACTCAGAAAATCCCCAGGAAGGACTCTATCACATCTTAAACCAGTCCTGTCCCAAAGCCTCATGCCAGGGTTGAAAGATGGTTGGCATACCCACTGGAGGCGCACCTTAAATGTGGGAAAAGGCA